TTTTGCTCATCACGAATAACGGTCATCTTTCGTTCGCGCCAGACAGACGAACGATGGACGATGGAGATGATGAAATCAAATAATAAAACAATATCAAATATAGAATGTAACTTTTTTTTAATAAAAATAAGAGAGAGAGAGAGAGAGAGAGACGCGGTTTTATCTCTTTCCGCGAAATGATGGTTAGTACCATCGCAGTTCCTCGTCGTGAGAGAAATTTTCTAGTTGGACGCGGCTTCGATTTCTTTCGGTTTACGTAAGATTACAATGTGAAATAATTGCGCGATGAGGACACCGAGATTCGCCGAGGTTACCGAGGTCGTTTCGTTAGAAACGGTCCCGATCCTCTCCAACTCAGGCGGGGGATTCGACGACACACACCCGCAGAGATACATTACATAGACAAGAGGCGTCGCGCGTCGCGCGTCTTTCCGCTGTAAATATCGCTTTTAACTTTTCAAACGGTTTAAAACGACGTGCCGTTGCAATCGTTCGCGCTCGACCTCGCGCTAACAAAAAGTCTTGCTCGTGAATTTAGCATTCACTCAACAACCACGCGCAACGTGTATAGAAATTTTATTACTTTCCAAAATCCGATTCGAGGGCGAAAGAGCAAATTGTCAAACAGAGTCGCGGTTTGCCGGCAACGGATGTGACAATGACTAATTAGAGACAACGTATTTTATTTCAGTCCTTATTTCAATCTTCGCGTAGATGTGATGTGTTGGTGTGTTGAATAAAGTTGTATATCGCGTGTGTCGTCACACGCGATACATTAATGTGTGTGTGTGTGTGTGTGTCTAGAATTTTTATCGTATAATATCCGTAGCGCGAGACACAAGACGTCATCCAAGATATCGATTTCGAACGACGCAAAGCCGTTTTCTCTCTTGCTCACACGAGCAAACATTCCTCGAGCACATTGTCGAGCATAAATCGGTCGGGCCGGTAATCAACGCGAACATACCGCAAGATATCGCGAGAGACGTTCTCTTACTTTTCGAAACTAACCGACGCGACGACGGTCCAGAGGGAAAAGATTATCACTGTCGCTAGGAGACGAAAGAGAAAGATTGTCGTCGTCGTCGTCGTCGACGACGCCTCCTCCCCCCTCCCCCGCCGGCACGCCGTTGCGCGAACCGGCGAGATATAACTTGATGTATCTAATGATTCGCGCGCGCGCGCCCGCCCGCCCAGCGGAGAGTGAGTGGCAGGAACGTGAGTGGCGTACCAAGGTCGTTGTATTTTTAGTTGGGCCAATGTTTAGTTGGCCACGTTCGTTGGTTGGAGATAGAGAGACCTTGAATTTGGCGGATAACATCTGCAGCCTTATCGACGCGATCCCCTCTCCCTCCCGTCGCGCGTTCGCCCAACCTTCCCACCCTCTCTCTCTCTCTCCGTCTCCCGCCCTCCCCCCCTCTCCCCGTTGTGTCGCGATAAACTTTTTCAGTACTAACCTAGTATAAACCAGCCGTTCAAATATTAATCGACAATGCGAGGCCGCACCTGAATTTGCACAACGATCGACCAAACGGCCGACTGGCTCTGCGACGCATTCGTCAAAATCTTTCCTTCTCAAGGATACTAGTAGAAGAAGAAGAAGAAGAAGAAGAAGAAGAAGAAGAAGAAGAAGAAGAAGAAGAAGAAGAAGGAGAAGAAGAAGGAGAAGAAGAAGAGGTATACGCGAGGTATAATTGAGAAAAATTCGTCAACGTTCGACGAGCGTTTTCGTCAGGCAGCACCAGCTGAAATCATCGATTCGTCGAAACACACACACACACACACACACACACACGATCTCTGTGTCTTTTTTTCAGGAACGAACGCTCACCGCGCAAACGTATGCGCGCAAACACGCACACGCATGCCCAACGACCGGCGAAATCCACTTGTGGAAGGTCACGCACATTTTCGAGTCGTTATTCTTCGTTCCCGTAATTATTCACGTTCATTCTGTCACGAACCCACAGCGAGCGACTTTTCGTATCTCTTGAGCGATGTAATCATCGCGCAATTATGTTGACGTGAGTAGCCAAGTCTTTCGACTCTCGGTCTCTTTGAATGTCGCTCGCAAAGACATCTCTCGATATATCGTTCGTCGCTACATCGTCGCACTATGTGCGGCTCCCGCGCGTCTATGCTACTGTTGCACTGTAGCACAAACGTGCACAATTGTCTTCCAAAATCTTCAAAACGTAACGCCGTAACTTGAATCCTCTGCCCGCTCCCTCCCCTCCCCCGTCCACTCTCTCAATCTCTCTCTCTCTCTCTCTCTCTCTCTCTCTCTCTCGTGTGTGTGGGTGTTCTTCACCTGCTTGATTCAATCAGCTACTACAGATGAATCGCACGGATGTTGCAGCGCGCGTATACGCTCGTACGCATGATGCGATTGCGAGCATAAAGGGAAAAGTGGAAAAATGGCCAACTTTCTATCACATCCTCATTTTCCGATAAAACATATTCGCAATTGTACACGCATATGTATGTACAAGTATAAACATACGCATGCGCGCATATGTAGTCGCACAGAAAAAAGCCGCGATGTCGCGACCAAGTTGCGAGATGTAATTTCGACCGCTTCAACGATCGTGCGTGCGGTGATTCTCTACTGCACTTTTTCTCCCATCCATATCTTTTCTCGACGAAACAGACGTTGTCGCGACAACGAATGATCGCGACGATATCGATTCGATTGCAAAACGTTAGTCACGCAGACAACAGCGCACACACACACACACACACACACACACACACACAACCCAACGAGTTCAATCGACGAGATGATACAAGCTGACGGTAACAATCGATTGTCGCGAAATCGGCATACACCTATATCAACGACATTCAAAGCAAGTCGGCATTGATCGTTAAACCCGATCCGAGGAAGGAGAACCGGTAAATACGCACATACACGTGCGTACAACGGTGTCACGTGGACATCGTTGGATCGCTCCCTTCCGCGAGCACACCCCGTTCGTTCTCTCACACGTTGCACGTTCCCTCTCTGCGACGCGCTGGCGCGAGAGATCGCCTCGTCGCCGTACACCACCACAGCGCCAAACAGATGCCAAACTGGACTACTGGAGTGCTGCTATCCGAGATCCCTTTTCTTCGCGCTAATCACGATTCGCGAACGGCGGTCCGCCGATGTATCAGCGAATGTAATGCTGCCGCGGCCAATGCGCGCATCTTTCGCGCGAGAGAGTCGGTCAAACCGTTTGTCATGATCACGAAAAAGACGTCGCTTTGCGCTCTGCGTAACTGCGCTTCGTCCGACCGCAAAGAGTGAACCGTAGGTGTACAGGGTGTCTCTTGCGGATCAAAGTCTTTTTTGCTACAAAGTCAATCGTATCGCCACGAGAGAGGAGGGAAGAAAAGAAACGGAACAACCGCAACATTTTTTTGACGAGAGCAAAGGCACCTTGCCGCGTAATGAGATTCATTATTCCGCCCCCTCCCCGAAGGTTCCGCGCAAAAAGACATTACACAATCGTGATTAAAATCGAACAATCGGAACAAATAGACGGCAGCACGGCAGCAACTCGTCGAGATAAATATTCTCAACATTGACGTGCGCGCGCTGTCCTATCTGTGCCTCTAGACGCACAAGTTTACACAATGACGGAAGCAACGGAACGCTAACGTTCCGTTTGGGGAACAACATTCCCCAAACACTCTTCTCCCCGGTAGACACCCGGTACCCCTCATACAGGTCCCGTACAGATAGGCATACGAATAAATCGTCGTAAATAATTTCGCGTAATGCCAAAAGTGTTTCGAGTGTCTGATGACAATAAATAATAAACAATGATGATGATGATGATGATGATGATGATGATGATGATGATGATGATGATGATGATGATGATGATGATGATGATGAGGATGAGGATGATGATGATGGCGATGATAATGATGATAATGATGACGATGATGATGACGACGACGACGATTATGGTGATAATGATAATGACGACGATGATGGTGATGGTGATGATGATAATGACGACGATGATGGTGATGGTAATGATGATGATGATGATGATAATGATGATAATGATAATGATGATGATGATGTAACAATGAATAATACAACAAGACAAGCGTGTGAGAAATATCTTGTAAGAAATTTAGACGGCGACTGATCGGAAGACGTAGAGCGCATGAGTTACGGCCAGCTAGCGCACTTGTACGCGAAATTCTGCAAGAACGCGATGGCGCGACTCGAAAATGACGTTTCCGAGCTCGAAATTGCGCAAAACTGCTTTGTTCCGAGTCGTAGAGTCTCGCGAGGGTTCCTCATAGGGTACATGATTTTGGTGAAATGCAAAATGTAGGCGAAAATCGCAGATGATGCCATGTGTGTATATATATATATATATATATATATATACATACGAGTATATACGTGTATATATATATATATATATATATATATATATATACGAGTATATACGTGTATATATATATATATGTATGTATGTGTATATACATGTATATATATGTGTATATATATATATATGTATGTATGTGTATATATATGTACATATATACACACACAACAGTAATGATGACATATTGATGATTTTGGAACGCATGCCAATTAAAAAGAGATTGAATAATCTTTGAAGCAGATGGTAGTGCTCTTTCACCGCAACCAGTAAACATTTTCATTCTCATCGAGTATGATTTGGTTAGTTTGATACAACTGCACAAGTCCTTAGTTACTTTATTAGAACGAACCGCTACATCGCGTACGACGCGCCAAGTCTGCCGCGATGTATCGACTGTCAGTGGAGGAATAATAAAGTAGCGCGCAGAGTGCCCTTAAAAAAATCAAAAGAACGCACATCGACGCGTTTCTACGGCCGCGCGTGATATAACAAGTGCCACATATACATATACACAGCGGGAGCGTGATATCGATCAGATCGATCTCTCAAGCAATTCTAATGATTTCAAAAGGGCAGAGAGCTATAGAGGAGCGAAATCTCTCTTACCTTGCGAAGTTCCTGCTAGGTCCGGTGTCTGCAAGGCGGTGTGGCCCAACCCTGGAAATTTCACTATCGTCATACGTAGCAATGTCAATAGCAGCGCGAGCGCGGGAACTCAACAACGGCCTGTACGCCTGTTTCGCATATCGTTTCGCATAACGGTAGGAGTAGTGGACGCGCGCGTCGACGAAGCAACGCCGACGGTGAGAACCCGGTGAAAAGGCCGTTAGACGAGGCCAGCGAAGTGTGACCTCGAGAGCAGGGTGAAAGAGGGAAGGAAGGTTCACGCGTAAAGGTGGTGAAGGTGGTGAAGGTGGCGAAGGTGGTGAAGGTGGTGAAGGTGGTGAAGGTAGCAAAGGTAGTAAAGCTGGTAAGGATGGTAAAGGTGGTGTAGAGGTGCTCGCTCGCTCGCTCGCTCGCTCAGCCGCGCGCTGCGTATCAGTGCGTACAGGTCCGCCGCGACGGCGTCGGGCTCTCGGCAACGTACCTGGTAACGGCGTGTGATCGGTGGTGAGTGCCGCCATGCTGAAGTTGAAGCTGCCAGGCGTCGAGGTGAAGAGCTTGCTCTCCGGCAAAAAGTTTTGCGCGGACGTGTGCTCCGGTTCCGGTTCGTGCTCGTTGCTGCTCGCCGAGGCGGGCGGCCGATCCGACGCCGCGGCACCGGAATCCGACGAGTCCTCGTTGTTACCGGCGTTGCCGCCGCCACCGCCGCCGCCGCCGCCGCCGCCGCCGCCACCGCCACCGCCGCCAACGCCAACGCCAACGCCAACACCAACGCCACCGCCACCGCCGTTGCCGCCGGTCAGTTCCAACGGCTCGCACTTTATATTGTCCTCGACGAGACTGTTCTCGTCGTGCACGCCGTTGCCCTCGACCTTGGCCGATAGATGATTGTTCTTGACCATCGAAAAGTCCGTGGGCGTGGCGTCGTTGTTGTTGAGCGGCGGCGACGGCACCCTCGGTCTCTTGACCGACTCGTCGTGTGGGTCCGGGGTGCGTCTCTCGTTCCGACGTATTTGCGCCCGGCGCAGCAATTGCTGCACCGTCGTCGGCGTGGGGGTTACCGGTGTAGGTGGCGAGCCGCCGCGAGGGAAAGTCTCGTCCGACTTTTCGTGAAACGGCAAGTGATTGCCGCCGGCCGCCAGCGCGCGGACATGCGATAGCTGGAAGCGAGACAACGGGAAACGGTTTAGTCATAACGCTCGGTATTCGTCATGCCGTTTCAATCAGTTCACCGGGCGGGATGGGGGGGGGGAGAGAGAGAGAGAGAGAGAGGGGGGGGATTCATTCTCACGTCGCGATAGCAAGACATGTATCGCTCGTCTAAATCGCGTCCGCGATCCATATAGCCGAAATACGAATCCCGAGGATTTGAGATATCAAACCAGTCTTTCGCGCTTTATCTTTGTTTGCTTGACCTATGACAATTACGGATTGGAATCAAGATAGATGCGAGCTCGTCTTTTCTCTCTCTTTCTCTCTCTCTCTCTCTCTCTCTCTCTCTCTCTCTCTCTCTCTCTCTCGCTTCCTCCCCCCCCTCTCTCTTTCCACAGAGATACAGAGATCGGAGATAATGATCAACGTGCGCGCGCTCCACAATTTCGTCTCGTATACGTACCTCGTCTCTGTCGGTCTGGTCGGCCTGTTGCGTGAGACCCGACACCCTCAGGACTTCTGCGGTTTTTAGAAAACTACTGAGAGAACGCTGATGCACGTTCACCTCACCGTGATAAATAAACTCCACCAAGGCGTGTAAGTCGCTGAACGCTACATCCTGGAGCACTATCACTGGATGCTTGCACGGTGTGCTCTGAAACAGTGCAACGTGTCGCGCGCAATCGTCAGCGATGCTGATTCCAATTCGAATGATATTCAGATATATCTTCCTTTCCTTGCGAAACTCGAAAACTCTTTGACCCGACAACGTCTAAATCGCACAAACTAATCTTTTACGAGGTCTTTTGTGTCCCTTGATATTTCAGCCCGACCACACACACACACACACACACACGCGCGCGCGCGCGCACACACACACACACACACACACACACACACACACACGCACGCACGCACGCACGCACGCACGCACGCACGCACGCACGCACACACGCACACCGACATTCGCAATATCTCTTCGCGTCGCTTTCACATGCAATGGCAAAGTCTGCGTAAATAAAGTCTCTCTCTCAATGTCGGATCATTTAAGATTAACGTAAAAACACACGATAATGATTCTTTTTTGCCATCATGACAGAAATTTAGCGAGTTTGGAAACGAAAATCGAGATGAACGGAACGATTGGCGTGAACGTTTCTCGTTAACGACAAGAGAAAGGAAGAGAGATGGGAGGTAGAGGGAGGGAGGAAGAGGGAGACAGAGACAGACAGACGAGAGAGAGAGAGAGAGAGAGAGAGATATGAGATCTTACCTTGAGCAATTCTCGAAAGTATGGACTACAAGCGGAGAGAACGACGCGATGCGCTTTTAGGCTTTTGCCGTCGCAAGC